ATTCAAATCTAATTAATATTTTTTGAATTTTCTGTTTATTTGAAAAAGGAAAGCAATTAAATAAACAAGGATAGCAACCACATTCAAAACGTCCACGCGATCCGCCATATTTGTTTCAAATTCGGATTAGGCACAAAAATCAAACTATCGGTCATATCTATAGGGTTATAGATATCGACAGAAAGTTGATTGTTTAAATTTGGAAAGCGGATAAAAATCATTATCGTACCCAAGTGGTTATGGATAGGATAATAATTTTCCGTATCGCCGAGTATCGAACCTTAGGGATAAAGTCGGATAGTCGTCCGAGATACGTTGCTAAATTAGGAAGTTTTCCTAATTTTGAATATTTAAAAATATTGCGGATATATCGAACATTATCCTAAGATATCTAAATATCCACATGATATTCACAAAATATTCAAACACCCATATTAGGAAATTAAATATTCTGAAAATATCGGATAATGTTGAATTACCTAATTTGCAGATAATTCCCAAATTCAAATCGACTCGGGATCGAGTTTGCGGATCGGGATCGGACTCGGACGACGGGCGACGCGGCGTCGGCGCGGCGGCTTACGGTGGCGTCCGGCGACGGGCGCGGTGGAGCGCGCGGTGGTGGCGGTGACTCGACGAGGAACGACTCGGCTTGTGGTGGTGCTCGTGGGTCTAGGTGGGCACAGCCACGGAAGCGCCTAACGGCAGGGCACTCACGATGGTGGTGAAGTTCACTTGGATTATTCAATGAAGCACTTGGATTGCTGGAAGGATGTGGTGCTGATATGGGACACGCGGCCAAGGACTGCCACCTGCTCAATTCTCCAAAAGTCCTACAAGAAGAAATCCACACGTAATGGAGTTGCCGAATGGCTGTGATGCTCGGGTGTGTTTGCGCAAGAATTTGTTCAGATTCGTCAATGGAGCCGGCTGTACTCAATCAACACATGCTGCTTCGGTGTCATTGCGAGAGCAACGGGATGCTCTAGATATGACTAAGTATGCTGTGGGCGACCGTCGTGTGTCTTCGAAAGCGACTCAAGGACAGTCGGTGGAGTCGAGAATAGCAGCGAAACTCAGCAGACGGCACAAGGTCACGATTGAGAAGGAGGATGCTCAGTTGCGACTTTCCCTTCTCAAGCTCTCTCTTTTCTCTCAATGGTGGCCGTGTGTATCTCTAAAAATTCTGAACCGAAAATTATTAGAGTCCTCTTAAAAATCTGACCTAAACATGTTTATATAATGCTAACCTAGGTCAATTAGATGGGCTCTATAGTCCTAATGGGCTTAGGTTTGGGCTTAGGTTTAATTTAATTTAAATGGGCTGAATTAATTAAGGATAATGGGCTGAATTAAACTCAAATTAAAACAACCGAGCCCGTTTGACTTGTAATTCCTGCCGCCTTCCGAATGATAGCCAGTCTCGTTCGATGAAATTTTAAGCTCATTCGCCACTCGCTAACTGATGCAAAAAATGCAATTAAATTAAATGGACCTCAACTATATGTTTATGCAATTTAAATATTTTTGTTTAGGGGTTAAAAATTTAATCCCTAATTTTCTATGCAAATTACACTAAATGATACGCCAAAATTTAGGTGTCAACACTTATCCTCAAGGCTCTTAATTCTTTTCCTCAACGTAGCAATTTTTTCGGACTTAATCAATGAAAAATTATGAATTTGAAAATCTTAGCTTGTGATTTTAGGAACCCCACAAACAAAAAAGAAAGAAAAAAGAAAAATTTGTCCACGAAGCAAGGGATTAGGAGAATGCTTGCGGCCATCATCTTGTTCGAGTTCGCAATGCTGAGATTTATGTTACGACATAAGAGAGCATGGTAACGAAAATAAGCAAGGTAGAAAGAATGGAAAGATATGTAATGATTATTGTGATGACTTTTGCGCTGAAAAATGGTACCATCTGAAATCGTGGAACCTTAATCGTCATAAAGAAACCTGAGGCTCATAACTGAGGAGATTATTGTAGCTCAGTTCCACATATTACACATGCAATCAATTTTTGCCACTCTATATTTTCTCCTTGTGTAAACTTTCTTCAGCACAAAGAAAAAGAAAGAAAAGGAAAATTAAATTAAATTAAATTAAATTAAAAAAATTCAAATATTTTGATAATTTTCCCCATAAAATCAAATCAGATATCAAACAACGGAAAATATTTTCTAATATATTTTCAAGTCTCAACCGACCACCGGAATATATTGTCATTTTCCTAGAAAATGGCTACTTGGAAAACATTTTCCAAAACAGTCACATTTTCCGTTAAATGAATGGATCCTTAATGAGGCTTCTTTAATGGCCAGAGAGCGTTAACATTCAATTGTTAGAATATTGGACGGTGCGGATTGAAACTGATATTATGAAGGACTATTAAAAGAAAATCTAATAACTCCTCGATAAATACAGACATTAGACTTTCATCGCTCCACTCCTATAAAAAAAAATATGGTTGTTTCAATAGAATAATAATAATAATAATCTGTGATTTTCGGTCAAGATTGTATCAGTGGGTGAGCTACAATGACAATGAATCAATGACTATTCTCCAATCTTATCATCAAGGCTCCTAACTCTTTTCTCATAGCAGCAACTTTCTCGAATTAAATGATCCAAAAACTATGATTTCAAAAATCTTAGCTTGTGATTGCAGGTACCCCACACATGTCCACGAAGCAAGTGATTATGAGATGTCTTGTGGCCATCATGCTGTTCGAGTTTGCATCGGTGATAACCCCAGATTCAAGTCGTGATAAGCGCGAATTCAAGGCGTTTTATGAGGAATGGATACGTGATTGCCGAAATGTATGTTATCACATAAGAGAGTGTAGTAAGAAAGAGAAACAAAGTAGGAAGTATGATAAGATATGTTCTGACTATTGTAATGCCTTTTGCGCTGTATATTGGGACGATCTGGAATCGTGGTTCCTTATGTAGATAATGCTAATTAGAGGAACCCGAGGCTCATGATTTTGGAGATTATTGTAGGTCAGTTCCATATATTACACATGCAATAATGTCGTCCATATACATACATACATATATATGTATATATATATATATATATATATATATGGTCCATGTGCACACTTTCTTTTGTTTGCTCTTCTATTGTTGACTAGATGTGATAATATTGTTTCGTATTAGGTGCATGGACCATTTGAGGCTCACATGTTATATGATCTATGAGGTTAGGGCTGTATTTTATTGACCCAAGTTTGCCTATACATGTGGCTCTCTCTCTCTCTCTCTCTCAAATATCACCTCGATCTTTGCTCATTGGTGGTGTGCAGCCTATCAAGGTTTGACCTAGTATATTTTTTTAAAAAATTTTGGAACTAGATTGAACTGATGAAAAGTTTTAAGATCTATGGTGAACTTATCCTTACATACAATTTATCCATGTCTAGACCGAAACGAATAAGAATAACTACTCCATCATACAAGGTGCAAAGACACTAGTTCTCTTGAATTCACCTATGCAGCTCATGAGCTTTTTATGACAAATCCTATTGGCATGGGATTTCTTCTTTAATATGTCTCTGATTTCAAATATTTTACGATTGACTATCATCAAGATCTATCGTAAAAAACAATAGACGCATAAAAATTGGAAAATACATACGTTAAATTCAATTTATTTGCATAAATGTGTTGTTATGCAAGACACAGGCACATTTGATCTTTAGACAAATCACATTTGAGGTCTTTTAGTGTTTGAATCTTTGCGCGTGCTTACTACTAATAAGATCCATTGAATTCAATTTTCTTGTGGTAAGTTGTAAATGAAAGCAAATAGATCTATTGTCATGCAAAGTGCAGATGCATGATGTCTGGAGATCATTTAATATATAGCTCCTAAGCCCCACTATAATTTTAGACCAATCATTTGGATTATTACTCATACATAAGCACATAAATCAATAGTGTATTCCGGTATATTTTGATATTTGAAGCTCCACTAATTAAGAAGTTTGATCATGATTTCTCATATAAAATAATAGCAGGTGAATAAGATTTGAACCTACAACACGGCACAACTTACTATAAGGCTCAATTTGTTTCATGGAAAATAAATTATTTGAAAAATATTTTTCCTAAAAACGATAGCTTATATCATTAGTCCTTCTACACATAGAACAATTTAGAAACCAGCCAAATTAAATTCCCCTGTTTTCAATGTTTTCCCCTTTCCAGTATTCCCCAATAGTTCATGATGGCAATCAACTAAATCCCAAGCCCAAGTATTTCATTTAGTAGCTATCATCCCAATAATCATTCGCAACTTGAATTGCATTAAATGTATTACAATAATTAGAACATAATTATCCAGTGAGATCGAGATGGGAAGATTGCCACATCTAATAAAGATTAGCTAGATTGTAGTCCATTACCAAGATCGGACAAAGCAATGAATTAGAAAAACATATGTTCATAGTCACCATTTTCAAGTTTCTCGATTTACTTCACTATAAGTTTATAGCATTAAAATCGTGACAAATCATTTGGTTTTCCCGATACTTTGCCACCAAATATGTCCATCCTAAATCCATGCTGGGTTATGTTTTTCTCCAAGCGGTTGGAGAATCTATTCAATTGGACTTGTGATTGGTGGGTGACATAGATGAACATAATTCATATCTATCTTTGTTTTAGTATAATTGTGGGCGACGTCCATCTAGTTAATCCACATCGATCAAAAGTTGTAGGTAAAAGAAATTTTCTTAAAACCAGTTATAGGAAAATACTTATTGAATTTTAAGTTGGTGTAGGTACGAATCAAGATATGACACTCATACACGAAGAAAACGTAATTGGGTTCTAATAATGAAGAGGATTCCAGAATTGAGTCACTAGAAATGATGCGTGATATTATTTTATGGTACATAATATTCTATAGTAGCATTTAGATCGACGTTTTAATACAACCCACATGGCCACAAATCTTGCATCACTCTGTATACTTAGGCATCGACTCGTTAGCTAAAAAGTGCTCGACACCTTGAGTGCTTGAGTAGGCGCGTACATTGGGACCTCATGACTGCATCCCCTGATCGTCACGAAGGTAATCCCTTCGTATATCTCAGACCATCCACTGATCTGATATCATACCAGTATAGACATTAATCATAAGCAAAGGAAAAAAAATATTCAAACTCCACTTTCATTTAAGATGTGGGAACATTAGACCAATGAATAAATTACCTTGCTACTATGGCCCCAAGAATACCATTTTGCCTTCCTCTTGAGATGCAGCTTGGAAATAGCAATCCGAGTTGCTGTGAAAGGAATCATTGAATCTGCATCTCCACTGATACAAACAAAAAAGACATTCAAGGTGAATAAAAAACTGCTAAAAAAATTATCTAGCAAAACATTATTTTATTTTATTTTGACTTTCTGCTAGGTCGCCATTTTGAAAAGAACGAAAGCCAAAAAGCACAACTTCCCTAGAAGCAAGCTCGACCTGCTTCGTCAGTGACACAGGACAGAAGGAAACGACTCAGCCAAAAATCTGAAAAGAACAAGTTCATGGCCAGGATGGTAATGAAGCAAGAAGCTTCATGTTTATATTTCCCCTGCCTCAATTGTTTCTCTCCAACCAAACGGATACCCTCTTTCGGATAAGAATGGAAATGAAGATTCAATAGAGCTTTCATCAAAGAAACACACGAACATTACTGAATTTCTCACAAACCGATTTTCATCGCACAAGCTGGTGCATCTTTGAATCCGTTTCCCCTTTTATCGATAATTTCATTACTAGTTACCTGTATATCCAAATTTGCAAGCCCGACCGAATGAGTAGCTCCGGAGTGGGTGGGCAACATCGACTTTTCCTTAGCAGGAAGGCTGTAGCTCTGTTGTATAGCCTTACTGCAAGGCAAAAGAAGTAGTTTAATAAGACTTGAGTGGTTAATCAAAGCTAAAACTAATCGAAAATGAAATGGAAATAATGGAAGATAGAGGAACAAACCTGCAAAGTGTCCATGCGGTGGGGATTGCATGGAAGGCTTGCTGCACATCCTTCCTGTTCATGTACTTGGTGGTAATCCAATCGAGACAATACTTAGACACCTGTACAGGAAAAATCATAGATTTAGAAAACTAGATATAGTACAGTGAATGCTTACCATTTGTTAGGTTTCGACGCGCGAGAAAATAGTGAAAAATTACCTCCTTTTTCTTGCACTCTGTCCTTAGTACATTAAATCCATTAACATTTCCAGCTTCCTTGAGCAAATATATGATGAAGTAGGGCTCACATGCCTTCAATCTGTATGTCTTAAGAGAGCTGCACAAAGTACTCGATAGCCCTTGGTAAGTATCGTCCGAGATAAGACCGTGGCTCCAAAAGTATAGAGCTCTGCCTTTCAGTTCGGTCTCCCGGTCTAAGGCAGGATTACCCATCTGAAGGACAATTTAAGAAGCACCGTTATTGGGGGTAGTGATCACTAAACACATACCCTTTGAAAACGAAAGACGAATATTCTTTTACATACTAAGCTGCTCTCCCAGATTAGTTCTTGAGCATGCTTTAACAGATGAAACTGTTCTACCCCTCTTACCAAAATGCCTCGGAGATTCATCACCGGATTTGTTTTCCCGGAGTTCCTCTTCAGAATGATCTCTGCCAATGACGGAATATAATAACCTGAGATCGAAGATCAAATCATGAGTTTAAAGATTCAATCGGGGCTTTGGAAAGATGACGATAGAAGGATGCTTACCGGCATAGCTTTCTCCGGCAATGTAGAAGGCTCGGCGTTTATACCCTGGGAATCTCTTGAACCATCTTTTCAAGAATGTATAAGCCTCATGGGCTAGAATTTCATTCACGGAAGACAAGGAAAAACTTCAGTTTCCTATTTTTTGGTGAAAAAAAGACTCGCAAATTTTTGGAGAGGGAAAAGAAGTAAAACTAGGTACACACCTGTGGAGTGGTCTCCATATCGAGTGAAGATGTTAGTGGAGAAAGAAAACCCAACTCCGGCAGGCGAATCCAAGAACAACAAGTTCGCTTCTGCATGAAAAAACCAGAATTTAAAGTGAAAAAATGAAAAAAAAAAAAAAAAGGAAAATATTACATACATTTTGAATATGGAATCTGTACACGTTTGTGTACACACCTCCGTTCCAATGTGCGAGACTAGGCATGGGCCGAGCTCCTGAAATGCGCCGTAGCCGATGGAGGAGCACCCGGGTCCTCTGTTAAGCCACAGGACGAGTGGCTTCTTCTTGTTGTCGACAACAGCTTCTACTAGCCAGTAGAAGAGAGACGCCCCCCTGTTGACATGGACGTAGCCAGAGAACTGGGCCGCGTGCAACTCCGGCTGGCCTGGCAATCTGGTCATTCGAGACCTCCTCATCAACTGCTCTTGAAGTCACCGAAAGCATGAGGATGAACACCGAGAGGAAGAAAAGACAATGCATCATGCATTTCATGGTTAGAGAGGAATTTAGAGACGAGAGTGCTAGAAACTCAAAGAGACCGAGTGATGAGAGTTTGAACAGGCGCTGTAAAGGGTTGGTCCTTAGCCAATTCGCTCGAGCTTTTAGCTCTGTTTGATGTCGTGCACAAATGTGTTGTCTCATGTGTATTAATAAATAGGATGATCGCAAGTCAAACCCTATGAACAAATTAGGTGTATAGATTTGCTAAAGTTATGGTCGAGTATAGTTGTAACTAGGGAGGACCTAGAAGTCCCTCTTTAATGGATGGCGAGTTGGTCCAAGTTCTTGTCCTCTTATCATTTGCTTCTTGCTGTAAACACATAATAACGCGTCAAAAGATGTATACTCTATTATTGGATTGCGTCAAGTTCAGCCGAGAAAACTTTGGGCAGTAAATATGCATTATAAAGTGATAAACATCTTAACTTCCAGTAAAACTGATTAAATTATATTTAGTTATATAATTATTATTACAGTCAATATTATCAATGATACAATAATGCAAGACAGCATCGCTCATGTTTTGTTCCTGCTTGCATGGGAGATTTATCAGTAGCCTCATGTTCTTTCACAGGTTGGAGATTTTTCTTTTTTTTGTGGTCGAATCAGGTTAAAGATCAAATTAGAAAAGGCCGACAACACCGCTTGGAAATAACATGGATCATGTGGATACGTGAGAAAGAGAGAATGCAGGCTAGCTGTCTTACTAGTGCAACTAAATCTTTGACTTAGGCCTCCATCTAAAGCATGGATAGCAATCCACACTTGGTACTGGTCTCAAATGTCTTACCAACGGAGTCTATGACTAAGGCCTCAATCTAGGCATAGATAGCAATCCATACTTAGAATTGCTCTTAAATGTCTTACCAGCACAAGAAATGGGCGCTCCAAAGGCAAGCTCCACTCCTCTTAAGTTCAACTCTCACCTCAATTCTTCACAACCTGACTCATGGATTCAAGAGACAACATTTTCGTACCTTCGAATTCCAAAATGGCATATAAAGTTTAAACTAAGAGCTTGCAAAGTTCACCGCAAATGCAATTTGTTTCCATGAGCAACACATTTCCATCTTATTCTCCACCTTCATCACCTTTAACTAGAAGAAAATTTGGTGAAGATTTAAGAAAGTTCCAAGGAAAAAGCTTAGTTTCTCCCTTATAAACAGTTCTCAGCCACAACCCCCTTTCATTTATTAAACGTTATTTTTGTTCATTTGGGGTCTTGCTGAGACTTAGCCGCTAATAAGGGTTAACATTTTTGTGTCCTAGGAACAGAATTTGGAGAGTCATAGACACACTTTGACCTGTATTTTATTGGTCCCTTACATGCTCAAATGGATAAGTACTCCACTTTCTCATTGGTCTCATGTTACTTTCCAAGGATTAATGACCTTCTCTTCGTTGCTAGTATCAGCCGACCTTATAATCATATAATGGATTTAAAGACTCTGCGTAAATTTTCACCTATTGACCCAACTAAGTGAATTAAATTGATTACGGGGTGTTTCCATTGTGGTTAGTGAGCACTACTATATAAATAGAAACTCATTTAATATAACTATGATTTTCATAATTATATCTAACATTATTCATAATGCGATACATTGCTTAACTTCTAATTATTTTTATTGAATTCTATTTAGTTTTACTCATATTATTAATGATACAATAATGCAAGACGGCATCGCTCATGTCCTTCAAAGAAAGGCTACATTGCGTTACTAGGTGCATGGGAGATTCATCAGTAGCCTCGTGTTCTTTCACTGGTTTGAGATCAATATTAGAAAGACACCGCTTGGAAGATCTACACTTGAACTCGGCTCTTCGTTGAACTCGCAGGCTTCCCATTTAATGCTGACCAGATTGGATCCATTGCTTGTTCGAGGGGTCGGGAATCACCACGCTCTTGGTTAGCCACATGTCAGAGTTCACTCAAAGGAGGAAATTGCTCTCGCCTTTTCTGGCTTTTTAGCTATCAAGTCTTATTTTTTTGGTAATTTTTCAAGCTTAAGAGTAAGAATCGAAAAATGAAAGACCAAAGCAATGAATCCTCTGCAGATGGAAGATTCAGCAAGATAAAAAAAAGCATGTTTCATGCATTTAACAATCATCAAGTTTCCAGTATAATGCAGATTGATGTGAATAGGTCATGACTCAGAACAGCAGCATCATTTATCATGGGTTAGATTACTAATGACCAGACCTGTTATAGAAATTGTAGAGTTAATTACATCAGACCTGTTGTAGACCTAACCTGGAGCAATTTCATTCTCATTCCCATAAATTTGTTTTTGGTTGATTTTGAAAAATGTTTTCCATCGAAAAACGCAATGGATCTGTCTTCAGTTTTTAGCTGGTGAAGTGAAAACACTTTTTCTCCCCGTTTTCACAGCTTTGCAGTCTAAAATCGAAATGAGGTTTTCATCACTTCCATTTGTTTTTGTCTAAACACTCTAAATGAATTGCTAGGACTGGACTCCTGTTACTTCACTACGAAACCCCTTTTTTCTCATTCCCATAAATTTGTGTTTCGTCACTTACATTTGTTTTTGTTATTCATAAAACATTTTAAATAAAAGTTAATGCCCAAAGATCAATTCAAAATCGTTCTAGTCAGTCTAGTTCCCAATTAACTAGTAAACTCAAGGCTCAACCGAGGGATGGGATCGAAACAAACCTGGTCGTTTCCCATATTTCCAACCCATAAACCTGCCCAAGTCTCCTGCGACATATAATCATCATCAAAAGAGAAAAAAAAGCGAAGGATTAAGGTTGGCCTTATCAACCTACGGACAACTTTTTTTAGGGCATTGTAATGAACAGTTACAAATGATCCCCGACCTTTGTTTCAGCCGAAGCACATGGAATGTTTGCTAGAGCGAGCGTGCTTCATTGGGGAGTTGATAGAGGTAGGAAACGAGAGTAAATAGACGTGGAAGAGGTAAAAGAACATTTATTATTTGCATATATTGTGATTCGATGCATGATAGACCTAACACCATGAGCGGAAAGGGACATGGCAACTTTTGCTAAAAGTTAAACTTCAAGTACTACTTCAGATAGACATTATGGTCCGGAGATTTAGTTAGCTGAAAAGGATAAAGAAATAGAAGAAGAAGAGGAGGAGGAGGAGGGTGCTTGCCATCAACGTTCGAAACGTACACGATCATTTCAAAGAGGAGATGTGATTAGGCATAGAGTGAGCAGGTTATATAGTAATTGCATACGGCGAAGGAATAAAATCAAAAGATAGAATGGATTGCCTAAGCTAATCAAAACCTTGAAACGAAAAATATTAAGGAGCATAATCAGATATGATAAGATCCGTACTTCATGGCTTAGAAATTCTATACTGAAAAAACAATTATAATTCAGTCTATCCTTGCAAAAATATATATAATATATCACATTAAAATAAACAATTTAATAGCCAGAAATTAGCTACATATGATGCAAACAAATTGAAATAACTTCAAATTTGAATAGTTTTACGTACATGTTGATTTAATATTATCTAGCAATTTTTTAATAGACTAGACATAGTTTGCGATGAATTACTTATTAAAGCAATAGACAACATGACTTATGTTTGTTGTTTAGTTAGTAAAAAACTTCAAATCTGAATATATTGTGTAAATGGTAGTTAAAAAATATGCTAACAATTTCGGATAATACTTAGTAAAGTAGTAGTCGACGTGACTTATGGTTGTTGTTGAGTTGATAAATATATATTGTCATGTACATTGAAATCACTTTTCGAATGCAGCGCGATGCACGAGTCTTCAACTAGCTGCAAATATAACAAATACGATTAGTGAAATAAATAATTGCTCTCTGGGGTGGTTTCAATGATCACTATATATAAACACACACATATATATACACATATATGTGTGTGTATGTATGTATGTATGTATATATGTATGTATACATATACCTTTGGGCCGAATATATGACATGCAGTTGTATACTCTCCACATGACAGCGGCCATAAGAATATATTCCAACTTTCATGAATTTACCACCTTTAGGTGTATGAACCATTGGGATCAGATCAGTCACTCCTCAAGTATACATGTTTCCCTCCATGAATTAATACACAATAACCTCCTTTGAAGTATGACCAAGCATTAGAATAGGAGACATCCTACCACAATATAAGACTGATATTTCTCAAACCCAATCAAGTGTGCTACTTTAACGGTCACAACCCAATTGAATCCTTGAAACTCTCTCATACCAGGGATATAAACTATATATTTCACATTTAGATTTGAAGACAAGGGCAATTTGTCATTAAAATCACATACCATGCTAATTACATTGCTCTATTCATTGATAGATAATGAATTACACTCTACACATTCTTTATGTGGTCATATGCATGTAAGCTACCATTTGTATTTCTGAAACCATATAGAAAAACAAGAAAATACGCAAAAATACCCTAAAAATACGTGTATATAGGGTTTTATATGTATTTTCACATCCTTAAAAGTATCAGACATGTAAAATAGATACATCATAGTGTAGAGAATCTCGATACGAGCGCGACGGTATCAAAAACGTCCCAAATGGACTCCAGACGTGGCCTCACGCACCGCCTGAGTGCGTAGCTCGTGAAATGCACGTTTAGCTAGTCTAAACTAGTGTGAACCGCTGGCCGGTCGAACCAATCAATGTTCAACACCAAGTCTAACTGATTTGACCAGATTGGTCAACGGTCAACACCCGGTCCGACTAGTTTGATCGGTTTGGTCAACGGTCAACCGGGTTGGATCCCGGGTCAGATCACCCTGTCATCCAGGTCAACCCACTTTGCGGGTCGATGTACAATACACACGCTGGGCGACGCTGCGCATGGGGTGCGTGCAGCGTCCCCTGGGGGCGCGCCGCTACT